CGGGGCCCCTTTGGGAGTCGGTCCGTGGGTCCGAGCGCTGTACTCGAGAAGCTGAGTAAAGCTGCCGATTCGCTGAAAATTCTCTTCGAAAGCGGCTCTGAGGTTCGTTCTTGGCCTCGAGAAGCACGAAATGACCCCATTTGAGACTTGGCGGTAGGGGAGCGTGTCTGAAGGCTGCGCCCCGCGTTGTGCCAGCTAGAGGCGAGGAAAGAATGTAAACGCGGACACAATGGCTTTAGTGCCGGCGGGCACCCCCTCATTTGGAGTTGAGGTCAGTGTCCGTCCCCAGGTCCCGAGGGCAGGGCCCAGCCAAGTCTGTGCCCTGGCTCCCAGTCGCTATTTCCTTGCGTGTCCAGGGAGGGGCGTGGAAAGCAGGGCAGTGCGAGTCAGGGAGCTCCCCCCCGCCCCCCCCACTGCACCAACGTACCAACAGCGGGCGGTGCCCGGGCGGCTGGCCGCCTCCCTCCACAGTCCCTGTGAACTGCCGTCAGGAGGTTATTGCAAAGCAGTCACGTCCCTCCTTAAAGAGCCATAGGGGCTGCTCGTCCACGTGCTCTGAGCGGCACCGTTTGTGAGCGTTCCACTTTTCCACGGGAGTCAGAGCTGCCGCCGGAACTTGAGCAGGAAGGAGACGGGCTCCCCAGAAGGGAGATCATTCAGCCTGAGCCGTCCAGGGCCCCTTGATCCTGGCGCCTGCTCGGCCTGTCCCGTGGCTCCGTTTCACTGGCCTGGGAACGTGGGAAATTCGATAGGTGTTTATCTCTCCGGAGAGGTTGGCAGTCTTCGTGGAGGAGGGGCAGAAAGTACTTACCTCACCAGGAGGGGACAGAGGAGGGACCCCGCTTAGCACTGGCTAGAACCTGGGGCACGGGTGGGCCTGATCAGCTGCCCCCTCAGTGTGGAGGACAGTGTGGCTGCAGAGCGGGCTGCAGGCGCCCCCAGAGGAAGCAGGGCTCATTGGAGTCTGGAAGGAGGAGCTGGACCAGGTGGGAGCGGCCCAGGCAGAGGGAAGGACTGCGTGAGGTCCATTCCACCTGGGCTCGGGCGTGTGGACTAGGAAACGCTCCGTCCCCTGTGCGAGGAGTAGGGGCCAGTGCAGGGCCGGCCTGGAACGTGTTGGGAGCAACATTTGCTCCTGCTCTGGGGGCCGGCGGTGCCCGTGGTGGCGCCTGCTCACGGGCCTATCCTCTCCCGAGCCTGCAGGCAGCCTCCATCCCAGACTACCGGGGCCCGAACGGAGTGTGGACGCTGCTTCAGAAAGGGAGGCGTGTGAGGTAAGCCGGCCGCACAGCCTTCCCCGAGTGGAGGGGGCCTCAGGGCCTGATGTCCGCTTCCCTTCCACCTGGCAGTGCCGCCGACCTGAGTGAGGCGGAGCCCACCCTCACCCACATGAGCATCGCCCGCTTACACGAGCAGAAGCTGGTAAGAGCCCCGCGTGGCTAGCTGTGTGCTCGCCGTGCCCACCGCGCCGGCCGGGGCCACCTCCTTGCCTGTCAGCCCACCCAGCGGTGTAGCCTCCTGGCTTAAGCCTCTCTCTAATCCCCCCACTTCCTCTCCAAGAGCAGGGGGGGCGGTGCAAACGTTGACCCTCCAGGCTGCTCCATGTATCTCAGAGCTGTTGGGGGACCAGCCTGCTTCTCAGGTTTTGCCTTAGAGGCTCCGTGCAGGTTGGACTTGCCACTGGTTTGGGGGCTCTGGCGCAGGATGGTTGTCCCGCTGCCTGCTGCTGCTCCGCCCCCTGTCCCCCCC